CCCAGCTGTCGCCATTCCCCCTCGGAGAGACCTCGCCTTCCCCGGGGGAGAGGGGGCCATCGTTACAGTCTTGGGGGCTTTCAGTCCTAGAGAGGTACACTTGACTTTAAACCAAACAGAAAGCATGTCTTTTTTTCCAAAGTTGGGTGGAGGGCGGGGTTGGTGGGATGGTGGGCGGGGAAGGAGGCGGGACATGAGGTGGGCAGGTCTATCCCATCGCCGTGACCATACTGGATGGGTGATGGGGAGCGAAGGGCAGGCTGGAGGAGGGGTGCATGGGCGTGGGGGTGCTGAGCATGTGACCCGAGTGAGAGAAGGCCGGGAAGGTGCTCATGTGTCTGGAGAGGGCAGAGGGGCTGAAGGAGCTGCCTTTCTCCACCAGACTTTTGGAGAACTCGTCCATGCTGTCCTGGGACTTTTTGCTTTTCTTCGACTTGCTGGACATCTTCCGGTTGCGGGTCTGGATGCCTTCCTTCTTCATCGTCAGAGGCCGGTTAATCTGCAAAGAAACGAGAGCGGAATTGTGGGTCAGGGGTCTGATCTGTCAGGAAAACCAGCTGAGAAACCCAGGTTTCACTTTTGAAAAAATCTTTAAAGGTTTTATATTCCTTTTGGACAGAATTCACATTTCAGTTTTGTAATTGCACACCCTGAGTGTCACAGGAGTCTTTATATAATAAAGAGTAATGAATATGAGCCATAATGGCGGAAATTTTAAAATAATCAAAATACTGAGAGAGCCCAAAAGTAAGAGCAGAGTGCAGCTCAACATGGTCTCCGTCGTCTCGGCGACATTTTTGCCTATAATCACTTCAGCATTGCAGGAGTGGGAATGAAATAACAATGTAGAAGTCAATAATGTCAAATAAACAGACACAAAGGAGAAACAGTCCCAGAAAGCTTTTTCTAATTTCATTAGGGGCAACAATGGTATGAAACACTGGCTGATTATAGCACCGACCCAGATGTGGGACCCGCAGAAAGGCGATGCTCTTTGTGTGAGGACGCCTTAACATTAGAACTGGATTTTGGGGCATATTCACCAACGCTGGGTCAGCAACTGAGCTCCAGCTCGCACCTCCGACCGGCCAGAAGAACCGAGAGGGTAAAGGGAACCCTTAACTTTGCCTGATTCAGAACCTTGAGCTCTTACACACGTGCCTCCAGTTTCCTTGGTGACAAGTGAGAGTGGTGTCAGGTTCTAGAACTTGCGTCTGAGTTCGAGGCAGGACAGTAGACACTAGCCAGCCGTCGAATCACACCGAAGGTTTGGCCTCATTATTCACACTACGGTCAGAGAGTTTGCATCACCAGGTTTGAACCGGGATCTATAGGTCTGCTGTCCCCTCCAGTCCTGCCCACACGATCTCTTGGACTTTTACCAAAGCGTACACCCCCAAGCTCCTTTTACTGTGTCACTGAGCTCTAGCCATGGAAACCAGTGGTGAAAAAACACACATGCAGTGAGATGAAGTTTCAAAACCCACGCTCAGGGGATTCTAATATGCTGTCAGTCACCTGCTGGTTTGACTCGCTTTCCATTGGTTACTTTCTTGGTCCCACTGGGTGAAAGCAGAGCAGTGATTGATGGTGGTCAGTAATCCACCTAACATGGGTTACAAAACCTAATTTCACCCATCAGTGGCACTACAAAATCAATATACAGCCCTACTGGAAAACAAGCAAAGTTTAGTCAAAGAAAAGATACAAAAATACATATCCTCATATCCATACAGCCACCGTCCATACCGCTTATCCAATGTATGGCCAAACTGTCAAAATACATCTATGTTTAATAGCATGTATATATTAATAATGGGGGTGTTCAAAAACATTAGTTTCTCTAATCAATGGGAAACATCTGAAATATATTTAATAGTTCTTACGCTGCATATTTTTAAACCTTAAGTAATACTGCTGCATGGTCAGCAAATCTCAGGGTTTTAAAAGATCTTCTGTAACCTGACATAGATGTGAAGCACAGCCACAGGCCCAGCTCCTCTCTACAGTCAGACCAACCTGCCTCAGCTCTGAGTCGGGTAAACCGAGGACAAGGTGACCCCTGGGGCTGAAAACACCGAGCTATCCACTTAATGTTTGAAACCTGGTTTGCAACCATATGCCTGGGACGGCCATCATTCTCTCCAGAAAGGAATAAGGGGGAACCTGGTATATACAGAAGAAGGATTAACAGAACAATAAATTCAGCTTTGTATGAAGCCGTCAAAAATCTGCGCAGTTTGTCCAAATGCAAAGCTATGAAAATGTGCACAGAAGTCTCAATTAGTTTGGAACATAATGGGACACGTGGGAAATGTTACTGTCATCGATACTCTGGGTCTTTTTCCAAGTCTAATGTAAGCAGTCTGTGTTAAAAGGGAGATACAACTTCCCCCCATGCACTTGTGTGACCATAGCAACAGGTGGGTGGGGGCACTGACCCCAGGAATTAAAAAGTTAAGGTCAAGCAACCGGCCTAACTGTATGGAAAATATTATGCCCATCTTCTGAATGTGAGGAAAATTCCACCATAGCCCAGAGATAAATAACAATGTGTTTATAGTCCTGAGTCTGCTGCAGCTTCATTGCAGAATCTGTCCCAAGAGCTTTCCACCAGGGCAATCGAAAAAGGATGTGTTCTTTTTCGTGGTAAGAAAATGGACTATTAAATCGCAAGGAGGGAACTAACGGCCGTAATTACCCTCTTGTGAAACTCCCCGTTTTTCCCATATACGTAACACTATAAAGTCGCAAATACATCGGTATATCCTGCGTTTATTTTTTTATCGCAAAAAATTCGAAACGAATAATACAGTGATGTCAAGGGAAGGCAGACAAACAGACGGTACGCAATGAGAGAGGTTAGCAGTTATCTTGCTGGACAGACATTAAGGGATCTTCAGGCTTACATTGTGCAGTTTGAAGTAAAGCCCGCAGGCGTTACAGACGGGGTCCCCGTTGGCGTTTCGACGCCACAGCGTCGTCGTGGTCGTTTGACAGTTGGCACATGAAGTACCTGCCCTCCTAGCCGCAGACTGAAGGAAGACAAAAAAGGGAGAAAATGACATAAGCTAAGTCATTAGTTAAAACAATACATCCTACAACTCACGGCAGTAAGCCTCGCACTTTCGAGGAATTCAAAGCCAAAAATATTTTCTTTAAAAAAGGTACAACAATCGGGCTTGTTTTGATGTTTTTGAATTACTTCATGCGCACATGCCATTTGAAACATAAATATTTGTAAACTGCATAAAAGACACAGCTTAAATATGCCCCATTACATGTGATTTAATTTTCCAGGGTAGGACATCAGGGACTGGGCGTAATGTATCGCTGCAGCGCAGTCATGTTTAAACAATCTCATCCACAGTTTACACCATTTTGCTAAAAGCATTTTACTTAAGATTATGATGGTCTGCTAATGCCTTGTCCTTCAATAAACTGCACTCACACGTCGTCTTAAAAATTACTAAAATAGGCAAATAGGGTGTTGTTTTGGGCACGATGAAAAAAATGCTCACGAATAAGATTTTATTGCTGCGTTAGCGAGAACCTGGGAAGAGTGAATTGGTATTAAGTCGGAATTTCTGCCTTATTTTACAATTCAGTATACTAATACAACTAAATCACAATAAAAGCATTATAAATTTGAATGGACAATATTTAAAATATTTTTTAATATATCTGTATTTATATTAATTACAAAACGGACATACTACAGACTTATGTAGATGTCAGTAGTTAAGCATTTTTTCCTGAATCGTACAATACTTCAAGTGTATTTGTCTCTACAGTATTGATAACCTCGAGGTGTGTGTATGTTCATTTGTTTTTTTTTTTCAATTATAAAATAAAATAGTATACAACTTTGTCTCGTAAGTCGTGCCTACTCTGAGCTGGACTTGGGCCCTAAGTGGCATACATAGGCTTCTGATTTCGCGGTGATTTGCATTACTGCTCTTTCTGTCACCAGTTATTTATTTAAAAATCTTGCACTATGATTTCTTGTAATATTATTCCCTCAGCTTCGTGACTCCTGCGTGCCCCCGTACAGTCATGCTCGGATTTGTCCCTGTCTTCTTAATGTTTAGGCTGGGGAAGCCGAGGGTGTTGCTCCAAACGACTTATCTTCCCAGCTCACGTATCCGGCAGATTTTTCCTAGGAAGTCAGTTTTTTACATTAGAGCAGAAAATGGGGCAGAGGGAGACGCGGCAGCCAATACAGTACCATTTCACCACCTAAAAAGTTCACTTTTTCCTGCAACAATGCGGTAAAATGGGAAACTATTGAGGTGATTCAGTAGTTTTGCTTCGACTTGACAACGCACCCCTTTGTTGTTGAAGATGCTAAATTAAATTAAATTGCAAATGATTGTCGAAACACCAGGAAAAGGAAACTGTAGCGAATAAAGTTGAAAACTGCAGGACTGTTTGAAGAATATAACGAATACATCTGTAAGACCAATTTTCCTACATATTAGAGGAATATTATTTGATTTAAGTGCCAAGGACGTACCAGCCTTCTCTTGGGCTTGATGAGGGGGCGATTCTGCCCGTTCATCTTGTGATACAGTCCGCAGGCGTTACAAAGGTAGTGACCCGTGCCATCACGCCTCCAAAGAGGGGTAGAGGTGGCCCCGCAGTTAACACACTCTCTGCCTTCTGGAATTACAGACAAAGAACACATTCATTTAGAAAGCACTAATTTATGAATCAATGAAAAAGCTTACACTTTCGAATGGGAAACAACATGTAAAAATAATATCAGCAAGGGCAACAATAATAATAATAATAATAATAATAATAATAACAACAACAACAACAACAACAATAACGATATTAATAAAAGAAGAAGTAGACATGCAGGAAGAGAAGAGGGAGAAATGCGATACTAGTACAATAGTAAATTCTTTTCACACGAGTACTGGAGTTTATGCATGCAAACAAGTAATAGTAATCTGAGTCATAATGTAAACATGGCGTTTGTCTAATAGGCTGTAGCCCCTCAATGAAACGTTGCCTTTGAAAATCCTTCAACAGATACACAAAGTAACAAGGACAGGCAACAATGTTGTGCATTGTGCTCATTCGATTTTAATAGTTTAATTTTATAACCCGTAGAAAAATGACAACGAACGAGTATTGTTCAAGGAACCCTGAGCTAATTCTTATTTGCATAATTTAAAAGTTTGAGATCTATATTGTTTTGGCAGATGAGATGAATATCAACCGAACTTAGTTCTTCAAGCTGTGTTTTTACTAGACGTGTTACCGCAGCATTGAAACTGAAACAGCACAATCGCTGTTCACACTAAAATATCTGAAAGAAACGACTTTGAGAAGGCCTTTATCAGTCATTAAAACTACAGGCACCCTAAGTTAGCCTACGGATGTTTATTTGATATACATAACGGACAGCAGCCGGTAGTGACAGACAAGGATCGCTTGGTGTTTTTAAGCGGGCACAGGTTCCACACTTTTTCTAATTGGCTTTTTAATGTACCGGGTATTGTGGCTTGTTTTGCTTTGGGACACAAAGATCCTGCTTGCAGCTCGGAAGCAGACAGACCAACATATGACCGATGTAAAACGCGGATTATATAGTGTACTGTGTCAATTCTTTTGGAATATACTAAGAAATATTGCAACTGGTAGGTACAGGAGCAAATCTCATTCCCCTAGCGTTTATTTGTTTTTCCTACTGTGTTTTGTGGGTAGAAAAGTCTTAAATAAATCGAACTAATTGAAATTATGTGCATTATCTGTTTCAAAGAAAAAAAAATAATATTTCATAATAACACATGTAGGCCTATTCATATTGAAATACTGCAGAGACGGTCAGTCTGTCATGGCTAGGGGTCATTCTTAATTCCGGTGAATACAGCCCCGCATCCGGACTCTGTCAAAGTTTCTGGCTCTGGATAAACAATGCAACTGTGGCGTGCAGCAGTCTGAAAATAATTGGATTATCCTGAGCTTACAAACCGACGGGGAGTCCCAGCAAAACGGCACTGTGGGAAAGCGAGTAAAATGAAACCTTCAAAATTGTTCACTGTCTAATAATTCGTTATTTGGGTTTAACGTCTAAAATACTATGTAATTTAAAACAGGGGTTTTGGAGTCACGGCCTGCAAACGACGATTATTCAGTCATAAGCTTTTAAATGCACGTTTAAATGCAATGCATTGATTAGATATAAATTAATGAGACCAAAAATTAATAATGAGCCATATTCACTGTAATAATTAAATATTACTATCAATTCCGCTGCCGCTTCTATTATTATTAGTAGTAGTATTATATAATAATAATAATAATAATAATAATAATAATAATAATAACATATTATAAGTAGTTGATTTAGCAATAATAGCAGCAGTATTATTGCTGGTACTGTATATTTGTTACTGTTTTGCACGGTAAATATATTACCAGCAGGACAAACCGTACCTTTCAGTACTGTAGCAGCAATTTTTTTAATTACGATTTTATATTAAAGTCCTTTATGGACTAGGCCTACGTGTGTAATATCCCCAACGAAGAATACGCAAAAGATCCTTGAAATTCATTACAATTTAAAAACTCAGCCATGTATGAAAGATACAGGTTTCTGTGTGGGAAAAGTAGATGAAATTGTAAATAAGACACTACCTACCTGAACAGGACCTTGTTTTTGGTCTTGTTTTGGAACCATAACTAGAAGGTGACCCACCTATCAGGCTACTTGGTGGAAAGAGCCCGGGGCCATATTCAGGAACATAGGACGGGTAAGTGGCAATGGGGTGATGGGCAGACGCCCCCGCTCCGATGGAAGCCATGCTCCGGCTGTGGGCCGACTCCAGTTTCATGGTTTCCGCCAGGGACACCTGGTACTTTATGCACTCTTTTTCCTCTTGGCGACTGGCGTTGCCCGAGCCAGGGGTCGCGATACCTGGATCCGGTGAGACATCTTTGGGAGGGGTCGGGGGGAAGGTGAAGAGGTGTGGGCTTGAGTGGCCGGCCGACAGCGAGGACGACGAGGCCGGTGGGTATACCGACAGGGCTCCTGGGGAGCCGTGGTGCAGCGAGGTCTTAGGAAATGGGCTCAAGTTCCAGGGCGATGTGCTGGGATGAGAGCTCAAGGCTTTGCTGCTCTCCAGCCAGGACAGTGAACTGTGGAGGAGGGGTGGACGACAAACCTGACTACCTGTAAACGAAGAAAACGAATTATGAGGCTAACGGTAACGGACCTGCGTCTGCAAATTTTCACAACGTATTCTGATTAGTAACTGTCGACGTTTTAAAACCAGCCTTCATCCACTTGCCAGATAGCTGCAGCATATATCAGTACAGTACTGAATTAATCCTGGCTGTTTAACAGTTTGCATGTAAACAATTGAAATTTCTACACCGTATAGAAAGTAAAGGTTGGACAATTTATTATTTACAGTTTATTTTGAGGTGATAATATCCATATTAATCATGCACCCGGAATAACTTTTTTTATTTCCAGGAATCTCAGCTATAAAATAGTTTCACAAATGGTTAAAAAATTCTTCGATATGTCAACGAACACACGAAACGAAACTGGTTTCTCATTTTGCAGAGTATCGAGTTAAATGTTTTTATTTCATCTCTTTTCGCATTTTTGCAAATAGTCTGCAATGCAATGAAAAGGTTCACCCAAAATATCGATAAATAATTTTAAAAACTACGTCATCCGATTATTAACGCGACGCATCTGCGTAGTTTCAGCGGACTTTGCCCTATTTAAACATAAACTGCTTAAATCGAAACCACTTATAATGAGTATAGCGGCGCGATGTTCGAGCCCCCGCACACTAAAATCTAATGTCTTAGCAAAGAAGGTTTAGCAAAAGAAACAAGGTCATGATTCACGATTCCGTACAGGAAGTCATTTCAATAAATTCGTACAATAGTTCTTCCGTAATGTCATTCTCTCCCCCCAATGTCTGCGTTTTGTGCTAATTGTGCAAAGCCAATTTGTAATTGACGCTAAATTTAAATCTGCCAAACGTAACTAGGTATTGTCCGTAACTTCTTTCCTTAGTTGATAATAAACAATTTAATAATTATTTCATGATTAAGAAGTCTGGGTTAAAACAAAATATTCTCTAATTAAAGCCTGAAAATGCCTCTTTACAAGCACCTCTCTGTCTCAAATATTTTAATAGTGATTATTTTTGTCACATTTAGCCAAATTTTATATGAACATAAAATTGTTACTGTTTGACGGAAAAATACGAATCACTGGAAAGTTATGAAACCTTTGTTAAACCATAAAGAGTAACCCACAGCTAATCGAGAATGGTAAGGTTTCAAAACTGGAGTGTGCGTGTTACACTCCTCTTACCTGCTGACGTTTACGTCGTGCGTTTTTGTCAGCGGTTGTAAATATTAACGAACCTCTAAAGTAAGCGTAGCATTAAACGCGTTTTTTCCCAGTGTCATTTCCACTTAAATTAGAACATAAATGTAATTACTAGGTTCACAAACTCCACAATCTTTGGTAAAGCATGACTTACTGTGAGGGGGGGGAGGATATCTCTGAACGGCTCTGACGGAGTTTCCGTAATAAGGAGAGACGTGGTTACCCTGTCCGTCGATATTAAAGAGTACATCCACATCCTCAGTGATAGGATACTGAGAGGGGTCCATGTACGAGTGACCGATGCCCGGGTGGTGCGAGTCAGGATGCTGGCCGTTCAGTACCGCTGGGTGGGGGTGACTCATCCACCGGGGCTGATCCGCACTTACTTCCATTGCCGGTAGCAACCGTTCATACACACAAAAAAGGAATCAGTACAATAAAGCGCAATAGAAAAAGTCTGTCAAAAGTCTTGCGATGTTAAATCCACAAGTTGCTTCTTAATTCAGAAGAATGCGTTTGATCACCTGCAACAAAAAAAAAAAACAGAACAATGTAAAACTTTTTAAAAAATTCGTCCAGTTATTAGTGCTTACTCTATTCGGCAGGATTATTGCTATAAATTGCCAACATTAATTGTAGTTATTGTTAAATAAGTCAGCATATTCACCATGTATATTCCGTTTCAGTTTGGAAAGAAAAAAAATCAAAATCTACATACATTTAAAAATGTTTGCTTGTACTAATTTGCCGTTAGAGATAGCTCCACGGGTCGCGTCCAGTTCCACATTGATGTCCTCAACTTTTCTCCCAAACTTTCTATGCTGTTCTGTAGAAGCAACAAGCCGCTGCAGAGTGTTTTAGAAGCAACGTTCGCAGAAGATGGGTTTACTGCACACTGACCAGGACAGAAGTTAAACTCACAGATCAAATCTCTCTGTTTGTGCGTAGCAGCAAGTCTTTCCTCTCATTTTCCCCCTCCCTCTCCCTCTCTCTTTCTCTGCCTCTCTCTCTCTCACTCTGAATTCTCCCCCTCTCTGTGTCGCTTTCTCTCTCTCGATCTGTTTTTTTTTACAGTGAAGGCATTCTTTGAGGATGGCGCCAGGCAGCTCAATGCTCGCAGACAGCTGTGGCGCGACGCAACTTAAGGAGGTTCTGCCGGTGTCATCGAAATGGGGAGGGGCGTAATTGACTAAGGCTGGTTTGGGGAAGATGACCAAGAATTGTTCTGTGTAAAGCATTTACGTCGTTGCAGTAAATACACGCACAGTACCTGTCGAAGTGACCCCGGCAAGCTTCACCGCCGGCTCCCCCTCAGAAGATGGCTATATATATATATATATATATATATCCGAAAAGTGCATAAATCATTTGTTCGATTAGTTATTCTATGGATCGCGGGTTTAAAGTGCTGATGCATTAAGTCTTAATACCTGTGATCTTCAACATATTTCAATATATGATTTTAAAACAGAGAATCTGCTATTTGTCTTATTTACCGCGCGTCCATTTGTTCGGCGCTTTATTTATAATTTAGTCTTGTTATCAGGAAGTTTCGAAATCTCCGCTTTTTGAGTGCTCTCGTCTTGGTTCGGAAGCCCGATACAATAAAAATGGTTGTTTATAGACAGTAAAAAGCTCTTGAATGAGCTCGTCCTATCGGTACTACGGCTGCATTTCAAATGCATCCTTGTCAAGGAGGTGCGGAGCCTGTTGCTTAATCGCAGGAGTCATGGCAGGTCATAACATGTCTATTTTCTTAAAATTGTGACAGCGCGTCCTCTCGCGGCGACAGCCTTTTTTATTCTAAATGGTTGAATTGGCCCTTTAGATTCGCCCAATTTACCCAATTTGCTTTATTCGGCGGATGAAAAAAATCTGGGCGATTTCTCAACATTGAGAAAATACCGGCACGCGCTTTTCGTCTGAAAAAAGATCAGCTGTAATTTTTTGCGTTCATGCATGGAGAAACTGACATATATAAATTAAATGTACAACGAATCTATCAGCCATGTGCATCACTGCATGACCTTTTACTCAAATGATACTTTTATTCAAATGCTCAATTCTTAGGCGGGGATGGAGTATAAAGTCATACATACACGTCAGGTAGGCCTGATTCTTTCCAGTTTTGTTTTAATCCACTTGATTGCTCAGTAATAGAGGGGTCTACCCCATGGGGCGGTATTTGGTGTCTAATTCTTAGTTTGGCTGGCCTGTGCTCCCAGATTGACAGTGCGCAATTTAGGGAATAAGGAGGCTGCTCTTTTGATGCTATGCAATGCAGTGAAATAGCCAGCCTCGGCGACGCCACTGGACGTGACGTCAGGACTGTAGAGTAAACAGCCAGGAAATGAAATTCTGTTGAGCGCCATTGGGGGAGGGTGTGTGTGTGTGTGTGTGTGTGTGTGTGTGTGTGTGTGTG